TATCGTTTTTGTCTTTTCTGTTAACACAAGCTCAATTGATGGTATTTGCTGGTGTACCGGTCCAAGTGTTTTCTTTTTTGAACACCTAAATTCTTTGAATTATCCTGAAAGTATATTCGAAAGCGTCCAACTTTTTTAAACATCTTGGTATGTCTGACAGCCAATTTTCCCTGCAAATTTTTGCTTACTTTTCTCCCTAATTTTCTTCTTTCCTTCTACAGTTATTTTCAGTGCTCACACAAGAAAATTAAGATTTTTCGACTGCTAGACTTCCATAAATTTTGCATTCTTGTCAATTTTTTAAAATATCAATTATATGAATTGCGTTTCAGCTAAAGACAGCTTTTCATTTTCTAGTCATTTTAACTATAAATAAAGTTTAAAGCGAAGTCCAAAGGATAAATATTTTAATTAAAAGATTTTTGCTAAATGACAAAGAAATTCTGTACCACCGAGTAACCCGATTCTTATATCGGCTGAAACAATCTAAATCATATTAAAGATCATGTTTTTTTATACAATCTATAAGAAAGAAAAATTAGCTTTTCGAGAGAAAAATTAGCTTCTTAAAACATTCTTTAAGAGGATTAAAATATTCTAATCCTCTTAGATCTTAAAATATTCTAAGAGAATTAATATAAAAGATTATATTTATATATATATTTTTAAAGCTGGGACTTGAACCAAACTGTCAATCTTTTAAAGCTTTAAAATCTTTAATCTTTTAAACACTTTAATCTTTTAAAGCTTTTTTACATGGTGGTTATAATTAAAGTTGAAATGGTCATAAAAAGTAAAACTACCGGACCAAATGTTATCAAACTTGGGAATCGTGTAAAGGAGGTTATGGGAATTTATTTTCCGCGGAAAAAAAGAGTTCTGTTTTTGACATGCCTCTAAAAGTAGATGTCATACTCCTTTTGTCTCTTCAATGGCAAAAAACTTTCCTTTGAGAAGCAACTTTAGTTTTTGGGAAAGGAAAAAAAAAATCACAAGAAGACAAATATGAAGAACATGCAGGACGATTGTGTACACATACTTATTTTTGGAACACAAGCGGTTCTCCGACTGGTTATTGAATAATGAAAAGGTGCATTGCCATGCAATACAAAGTACTTTTTTTGGAGGGGAATACGTTTTCTCTCTGAAAACGTAAGATTAAAAGTCATCTGCTTAATTCACAGCCATTTACAATTCAACTACTCGGGCAATTGCATAATCGTTTTGATCCTGAGCTTGTAAGCGAAACCTAATATCACTGGATTTAAACACTTCTTTAATATTCCGAGAACGTTCCTTCTTTAACTCATATTCCAAGAATATTAAGTGAATACAATTATTGCAAAAGAAATTGAATATTCATTTGCACTACGGTTTGGTACTTTACTAACGAATTAACAAAACTTAAATTCTGCTTTTTGTGTCTAAGAATACAACACTATTTTAAATATTTACAAATAAAATATTAAATTGGAGCTTTAATTGGAGCATCACTAGTTGCCTAGCATTTGAAGATTGTTAAATACTAATTGTTTGTTGTGAAGACTAACTCAGGCTGCATGGTTGGTTTTCGTAGTTTTCTAGGTTCTCTTTTACAAAGGTTCTCTAACCCGAATACTTATTAAAAATCATTTAGCTTGGCAATCGGGAGTAACATGAAAGATGCGGCGCCAATAATTGAATTGCTGTTACGGTACGCTGTTTCTAAACTTAGATAGTCATTCCTTAATTAAATAGCCCACCAGCGGCCGAGCGGTAAAGACGCTGAAAACTGTGGTAGTTCGGTCCGAGGTTCGAATCCCGCGAACGGGCTGGCCGCATGGGCCTTTTTCGTGGTTTTCCCCATGTCTAACGTGTATACGAGCCAGTTTCCCTTAGAAAGTCCTCCACGAAGGCATCCCTCCCTTTAGGCAGATAGCCCTCGTGTGCTTTACCATAAATAAATAATCCAATCCAATCCTTAATTAAATATAATTGATTTGTAACTCCTACTAGATCTGACGGTAAGAATAGAAGTGCAAATAAATAATATCGTGTGCAATCTTGATTAATATAAAATTAAAAATATTTGCACGGAAAAATATTTGCATTCAGGCAGAAAGTTTTTTGAAATATTTACAATTATTTTATAAGAAGTATTTATTAATAATCGTAATAATTACTTATTATATTACTGATGATTAGGATTCTGTTCTTGACAATTATATTCTTAAATTAGAATTTTAAGAATTATTAGAATTTTAAATTAGAATAATGAAAATACGCTACGCACAAAAATACATTTTAGGATAAAAAATGAGTTGATTTTTTATGTTTTAAAACTTTTTGAATTCATTTAATAAACATCGTATCCTCGTTGTTAATTGAATTCCAGAATGTTGTGGTGTCGTTTATATAATTATTCTTACTTGTCCACAGAAGCTGCTGACTTATACAACCGATTAAGTAGCTGCAGATCATTTCTACATAAACCATTGAACTTCCACATTAATTCAGTCTCTAGAGGGTTGTATGTTTATATCATAATTTGAGTTATAAAAATGATTATTCTAAATCTTATGTTTCTATAAAAATATACTGTGTTTTAAAAATATGGATAATAGTACCAGCCGCTCTTTCAAAGCATCAGTTTCTTTAGCAAAGCGGCCCACCAGCGGCAGAGCGGTAAAGTCGCTGAACACTGGTAGTTCGGTCCGAGGTTCGAATCCCGCGAACGGGCTGGCTGCATGGGCGTTTTCGTGGTTTTCCCCATGTGTAACGTGTATACGGGCCAGTTTCCCTTAGAAAGTCCTCCACGAAGGCATCCCTCATCTTAGGCAGCTAGCCCTCGAGGCTTTGCCGTAATCACATATACATACGCACTTTAGCAAAGCATCAGTTTCTTTAGAAATAAATTGTGCAGTTAAATGTCATAAAATTCAAATAAACATCAAACGAAAATTCTCAGTTTTAGACAATTCGATTTAAAGTAGCAGACGATGAAACGCCGAAGGTAAAAATTTACTCTTATTTAAAAAAAAAAAAAAAAAAAAGATAGAAAAATTTTAAAAATATTAAAAATATTAAAAAAAATAAGCTTTTCATATAGTATTAATAAATATTTATTACGCATCATTGAGGGAAAAATGTTATATAATTAATTCTCCGTAAAAATTTTACTTGAATTTAAGGTTAAAAATAGCTGTGGCAATACAGTGTAACAAAAATCCAGAGACCACATTTGGCGTTATTATCGCTCAAAAAAAAAGATGCCAAATTTCAAAACGCGAAAATATGTAAATTGTGAATATCTTAGAAAAATTTTGAATAAAAAGTCTAATTTTTTGCAGATATGCTTAAAAAAATACCTACTTTAAAATGATGGTTAAAACTTTTATAGGTTATAATTCAAAATTTTTTTCGAAAAATTTATAAAAAATTATTTAAAAATAGAAATTTAAAAAAAAAACAAAAAAAATGGGTAAATTTTTTGGAATGACCTAAATTTCGAAATGTGAGAGAAAAAATAAAAAAAGTTTAATAAAAAAGAGATATAAATAAATATTTGCCAAATTCAATTAACATTGAGGAGCTAAAATTTTGAGAGCTAATATTTTAAAAACTACTCGTACGATTTTTACAAAACTTGGTATTTTGGCAGAATTTGAGTCATAGAATCGACATATGAAAAAAAATTGGTATGTTATTTCAGAAAAAGTTTGATTTTGTGTCAAAATACATATGTTAGAATAGTGCTTTATATAAATCTAATATATATCCTAAGTCGCGCTTTCGAGACACGAAGAACGCAATTTGAATTTCGTTAATCGCCCCAGTAGAACGGGAGATATAGCACTGTCCCATTCTTTTTTTGAGCAGTGTACATAACTAGATGTCATAGCGGTTCCAGGCCCACCAGCGGCCGAGCGGTAAAGTCGCTGAACACTGGTAGTTTGGTCCGAGGTTCGAATCCTGTGAACGGGCTGGCTGCATGGGTGTTTTCGTGGTTTTCCCCATGTGTAATGTGTATACGAGCCAGTTTCCCTTAGAAAGTCCTCCACGAAGGCATCCCTCCTCTTAGGCAGATAGCCCTCGAGGCTTTGCCATAATCACACACACACACATAGCGGTTCCAAATATAAAATGTCAGCGTTCTGTAGCTAATGGTTTTTGAGTTATGCGAGATGCATATCTTAAAAATGTACGTACGCACATACAGATCTTACGAAAAAAATCCATTTTAAACCATTTTACAATCCGGTTTAGGGAAAGTGTCTTTGTTGTATGTGTGAGTACAGATGTCACGCAAAAAACATATTTCGAATGGTTTCGGGAAAGGTCAAAATGCATATTTCTGTTGAAATATGATCCCGAAAAGTTTCGTGATTACACTACTTCCTTTACATCGTACAAGGAAGTAAAAATGCATGTGGAAAGATTTACACCAATTTAAGCAAAACAAACAAGAAGAAAGTAATACGTTTGGGAGAAATGTCCTCTCGCAATGTGATGTAGTAATATTAATTCAAAGAAGTATACGTACACCTTTGATAAATTTGTAACGTAAATTTACATTTTATCGAAGATCTCATTTCAGAAGTTTCGCAACTAAAGGCAATTCTATCGCTAATGGCTTAGGTTATCATATCATTCAAAAGAGCTTTAAAACAAAAATACAAAAGAGAAGTGTTTAGGAAGCGATATCTGTAACCATGGCACCACATGATGTTTACAATCTTTTGGCTTCTGTTGAAGCTCTATACACAGACAAAACATCTGCGCTTCGAAGCTACAGAATTATCGACTTTTGCTTCGGAAATTCATTTTTACGTAGTTGTTCCGACTTATTGTTCTTTCTTGAAGATCGGTAAGGTTTATAAATAATATATAAGAGGAAAACAACGTATTTTAACTGCTTTAAGAACACCTGCTTGATATTTTCCAGTCTTAATATACGCTATAATTCAATTTATTTGCTGTTAATATCTCCCATATTCTAGGGAAAAAGAAACTGTATTTACTTTTTGCTGCATCCAGATCCCATATTTTAATAGCTCCATTCGTAGAACCAGCACAAACGATATCTTCGCACTGACCAAATTTCACGCATTCTATAGGCGATGTATGCCCACTAAGGCTCTGGAAAAAGAACATTTATCTGTATTAACACAAAAGATAATTATTTTTAAAACACGTAAATGAAATAACATATATATATATGACTTTCAATAACAGAAACGTCTTGCACACAACTTTTGTTTTCTTAAATTTATAGTTGATTGGGCTGTTTTACCGATGAAAGGAGTTGTCTGTAAACATTATATGTGAAAATAAGAACGGGTTTAACGAGGTAAGAGAAACACGTTAAAGTGAAATATAGAATTAAGTAAAACAAGAAACTTTTGTTTGGCGTAGATTTTAACGAGGACTCTATCGATTTCAAGATCAACAGGTACAAAGTCCATCTTCATTAGGAGCAAAGAAATTCTGAGGATTTAGGAGTAGAAAGTTTTGCTCCTGAAGAAAAGAGACCTGTACTTGTCCACCCTAGAAATCGATAGAGGATTCATCTTCACCAGAATAAAGAAATTCTGTTATTACAGAAGAAGAATTTTTTGCTCTTGATGAAGAGGGTCTTATACCTATTCGTCGTCGAAATTGATAGTTTTGGTTAAGATCTGAGCCCAAAATAAGGTTGTTGCTATGCCTAATTATACAGGGTTATCCAAATTAAACTTCCCCAACTCAGAGGCCTGTGCAGAGTGTTGTATGGATCATAATGTGATGAAATTTTAGAAACAGACACTTCAGATCATGCGCTTGAGATTTATTTAACAAAAAAAAAAAAAAAAAAAAAAAAAAAAAAAAATTTGTACAAGAAGTTGCCGATAGGTGGTGCTGCAGATCAACAAGACATTCTACACATGTTCTATATGTGTGCGTGGTTCTCCACAATCTTTCCATTCGCAAGCAGTGTGTTCCACAGCAGAACGCAGTAGTCCACATTAATTCCACGAACATGTCGAATAATTGCGTCTTTCAGCTGTGCTAAGGCTGGGTGTTCTCGGTAGATCCGATCCTTAAAAATCCCATAACCAAAAGTCGCATGGTGTGAGATCAGGCGAGGGGAGGCCAACTGTAGGGAAACAGCAGCTTATCACCCCACACGGTAAAAGTTAAAGTTGCCCGTAACACCTGTGAACGCCACGAAGAATATGGAAAGGTGCACCATCCTGCATAAATATCGTGTCCTGAAGGTGGCCACGTTGTTGCAGTTCAGGGATCACAAACGTCGTCAACATGTCCTGATACCGTTTTCCTGTGACAGAGCAGGTTTGGAACCCTGTTGGAGTCACCTCTTCAAAAAAAAATAAGGCCCAATGACGAATGTTGCAATGAAACCGCACCATACAGTAACCTTTGGAGGGTTCTAGGGCACTTGATGGATTGCGCGTGGGTTTTTACTTGCCCAAATGCGGCAGTTGTGCGTATTCACTTGACCATTCAGGTGAAAATGGGCCTCATCTGTCCAAAGGATGTTCCACGGCCAAGCAGCATCGACTTCCATTCTGGCAAGAAACTGAAACGCAAATATTTCCCGAACTATAGGATCCCTGTCGGACAGCTGATGATGACTATGGATTTTGTAGGGAAAATAACCGAGGATTCGAAGCATCACACGCCAGACGGTCGTTTAGGGCATATCAACAGCACGAGAAACAGTTGGCACACTGACAACACCATGTGGCGATTGGCTAGTGGGGTCCTTGACCGCCAAAGCAACCTCCTCTACACGTGCAGATTCCACAACCTGTCGTCCTCTACCTGGTAAAATTTCCAGCTGTTCCATTCTTTCGAACTTCTTAATCATGTCTCGTAGAGCGCGTGGTGTCATTGGTCCTCGGCGTAAGATTTTCAGCAGACGGAATGCTCTTATCGCAGCATAGGAGTTCTCGTCATTCTGGTATAAAAGTTTCACTAACAGAGCTTTGTCTTTCAAAGTCGCCATTGTGCATCAGCGAGCTGGAAAATTGTGTATCAGGAACCATTGTGTATCAGGAGCTACAAAAGTGGAAGACGAGCTTGTGCAAGGCCTGTCTTCCACTTTTGTAGGACTCGTCTTTTGGATACGTTGCTTTATTTCTGAAAATCACGTTGCTGCAATATGCACATTACTAGTGTTACAGCGCCACCTATTGACAACTTCTTGTACTAATTTTTTTTTGTGCAATAAATCTCGAGCGCATGATCTGAAGTGTCTGTTTTTAAAATTTCATCACATTATGACCCATACAACACTCTGCACAGGCCTCTGAGTTGGGGAAGTTTAATTTGGGTAACCCTGTATAAAAACCGATCAGCGTTAGAAAGGCCTCCTCGAGGGCATGTATGTTTAGAAGCAGACGGCTCTGATGTATTCTGTGATATTCAATGTATTCTGTGATATTCAATTAAACAACAGTCATTTATGAGTAAATGTATAAAAGTTCTAAATTAATAAAAAAAAACTAAACTCAGTGGCGTAACACCCCTAACGGGCCAATGCGTGCAGTGCCCCGAAATCTGCTTTCTTGGCCGTAGGCCCCGCGCAGCGTCAGCATATGCCCTGAACAAGTGCTCAGCTTGTCGCAGGACCCCTATTGTTTAGTCCCCAAGCGAACTTGGTACTCATTTTATCGTTCCAAAGGATGAAAATCAAGGGATGAAAGGCTGAGTCGAAATTGCCTAGGCCGGGGATCGAACCTCAGACCTGTGGTGCTGCTGCGCGATACGCTAGCCGCTCTAAATTAATAACTAGTTATTAAATGAAGCATTCTGTACTTTGAAATATCATCAGTTTGAAATATGACTATACAAATGTATCTTTAAATTAGCTAAAATAAATAGTTTGATAATTAATTAAAAATTTTATTGAATTATTTTTAAAGAATTAAATTCTTTACAACTCTAAATAGGGGGGAATAGTAATTGATAGTGACCCCTTCCCTTTTCGCGAGCATTAGAAAGTGCTGAATCTTGAGTTCATGAAGACAGATTTGTTTAAGTTGTTTTGATATTTTAATAAATTTAAAGACATTTTTTGTAGTTTTTTTATACTGAAAATAGAACATTTAAAAAAAGTGGGGCTATGAAGGGATTCAGATTTTAACGTCAAACTAGAATATTTTCTAAGTTTTTTTATGCTTTAGCTGAGGATAAAAACCGCACAGGTTACTACTTCGCTCTTGGACTCACTCCTGCTAACTCAATATTTTTGTCTTTCAACTGTATTATTGTGCATCGTTTTTATCGCACTTACGCCATGTAAAATTCAACACTAAAGTCACAAAATATTTGAAACAGCATATCTCTAGAATCCCCGATAGAGCATTAGGGATTGCCATGCCTTTTTTTATATTCGTTTTATTTTATATCTTCGAAAACTAGCCGCCAGAGTGGCCAACGGGCTAAAAGAGTTTTCATAAAAAAGAAAAATTATATAATGATTTTAATCAGTCCAGTTAATCTTATTTGAAAAACGTATTTAATATTTATAATTAGATATCTCGAGATTTAAATGCACTTTTATTTAAATGATTCAAATTAAAAATTAGAAATAATATTTTTGAGAACTACTTTTATTGCTTTTAAGTCAGTTGGTCTGCTACTCAGTAACAAAAAGATTAAATTTGAAGATTAAATATTTTAGGCTTGAGTGAATGGCAACACGCCAGTGCGTCGAGATAATAAGTATTTTATTTCAGGCAGTGGCATCACGTTGCATTTCCAATAGCCGAACTAGTAGATTAAAATTTAAAGATACATATGCTACATTTTGTGGATGTGATGCGCGGCAGATAAAAATGTTTTATTTCGAATATTGCTGCCAATTTTCGCTTTCTAATCCCTGAGTGACTTAAAAAAGTTTTGTTAAATTTGTACAAAATATGAAATAAATCAAAAACAAATTCGAAATTCAAAATTCAGATTTAGAAGTCTTCATTTTCAGATAAAGGAGCCCGTGCATTAAACATTCGGTGTCTATAGGTGCCGTCGTTTTTCTATAATATGAGAAACATGTACATACATACAGATTCTCCATTATTTAGCTTTTTTAATTCCTTGTACGAAGTAAAGGAAGAATTGTAATTGCGAACAATTTCGGATACCATATTTCAACGGAAATTTCCATTTTGAAGGTTCTCGAATCCATTTAGACTATTTTTTTGCTTTACGTCTAATTCTTTGGCGAGAATAAGAAGCTCTTTTTTCCAAAATGGATTGTAAAATGGATTTAAAATAGATTCAAAAGGGAATTTTTCGGTGACATCTGCACGTATGTATCTATGTACGTATCTCGTGTAAGTGAAAAACAATTAGCCGTAAAATGTTGAAATTTTGTATATGGCACTGATAACAAAATTAAATTTTGCACTCCTTTTTTTTACTGAATTCAGCAGACCAAACATAAATATATATCTAATAGCCACAGCTTTACCCGGCTTAAATCACCTTAACGGCTTTATTTTCTTATTTTCGAAATCGTTGTTTATAATTCCAATTAAAAGTTTGAAGTGTTTTAAATGACGAAAATATTCATGTTTTGGAAATGTCAAAAAAATATTTTCAACACATATCGAAATGTAATGCGGTGTCTCGGTTCCTATACTTTTATTTGAGAATATTTTGTACTCGTTAGGAAAAATAAAATTATAAGAAAATTGACTCCCATATGACAAATATTGACCAGGATATTTAATTTCGAACTTCGCAATTTTTAATGCCATTTTCAACTTGCCCTGAGGGATCCATTCATTAAGTTAGAATAACTCAAGGAAATGCGTCATGTCATGTCCATATCAGAATTTTTTCCAAATAATAAATTGCGATAGATTTTGGTGGCAACAATCTGAAAAGTGATTCGGACGCAAAAGCGATAAAACAAAAAGTGAGTTTTAAGACAAATAGCATATCTTGATGCTAAGAATGGGAACTAAGGTATTGTTAATTAAATGTAACATCTGTAAATTAAACGTAATATCACATTAAAAGTCATTAGATTTTTGGAAAAAGATAATTATCCGTTTTTTCCGTATATTCGGCTCGCTGTCTTCACAGTTATTCGACATAATTCACATCATGCGGATTTTGCTATAGAT